TTCCAGTACACAAATCTCCACAAAAGTAATTTACTGGCAGCTGCGCAAAGTGCACTCTGCTATTTTTCAAATCGCCAAAGCCAGACGACGGGGGTTTTCCACTGACTTCTGGCCTCAAGTTGAAATTGAAATTGAATTGCGATTGATATTGATTGGCTGCGTGCTTGAGCGACAACTCGGCCAAACCATGTGCAGCCAAGCAGGGATTTGCCTGCCTTCGCTGGCAACGTCTTGTAACTTTCGCTTATTCTTGTTGTTTTCTTTTTTTTTTTTCATCCACTTGCCCCAAAAACATATAGCCATAGAGATCCTCTTCGAACGAAGTTTGGGAGTTGGCTTTCGTTCGAGTGCCGGCTGGTCTGAAATCGAATTTGGAGTCCCTTAGCTCCCAGGATATTCCACTATAAGTTGTGTATTGTTTAGTCAAGTGCAGCTGTTCGTGCAGCTTGTTTATGTGCTGTATAAATAAGTTTCGGATGGAGCGATGAGTGCGCAAGTTAAATGGAAACTCGGCGCACAATTTTCTGCAATTTAATGCAGGCCAATTTGAGTTTTTTAAAATAACTGGGAAAGTTAGCTGCCATTTTACTACATTTCCCCTTGGCAATGTTTTTGCATTGACAAGTTGATGCAAGATGGTAATATGAAGGTGTTTAACAATCTATTATTTCTCCTGAAAATATGTTTTATAAAGTAATATTCAAAACAAAACTCCAACCCAGCATCACCATTCACCAATTGACTTCTCACTGACTCCCAAATTTGTACTAATTAAAGCGAACAAATCAGAGCGCCAGCTCACACACTGTGACCAAATGCGGAAGCAATCAAACAAACGCAGTAACAAGGATTGCATTAGGATGCATACAAAAGCACTCCAGGACACCGGGGGACCACAAAAGGTGCCCAGGCAAACAGGTGCCAAGCGGGCAGGAGCAGCACTTTCCGCCACAAAGAGCTGAGAGCTTCGGATTGGGATGATAGGAGGAGCAGGAGTAGTACTAACAGGACCAGATGGAGGTACAGGAGGCGGGCAACAATGGCAGTTCCTGCCAGGACAACGATGGAAACAGGAAATCCTGGCGACACTAAAAATATTTTCTACCAAATTTACAATATGAAGTGGCTGGCTTGAGCTCTCTCTGCCAAAGGTGCTTGCTTATGTATGTAATATGTATAGTTTAGTGTGTGTGCTGCCACAGCATTCGCATAAACCAACATATGCATGTAGACACACACACACACACACAGTCTAACAGTATTGTATGTGTATACAAAATGTTGCAGTTCATTGCGTTGACAGAAACAAACGTGGCACAAATGGAGCTCCAACTCCAACTCCAACTCCAGCATCATGGAAACTCCATCTGTTGCTGAGTGCATTTCGAACATAATTTTCAATTTTCATGCATGTTTTGCCATTTGCTCGAGAAGTGCGAAATTGTTTCCCTGTGACATTTCTTTTTTTTTTTTTGATTTGCTTAATGGTCGCTTGGTGATGCAGCACTGGCCAAATGGATATTTTCATTTTATTTAAATCCTTGTTAGGCGAAAAACACTCTGCATTTAGTGGAATTCAAGTATCAATAGAAGCTTTTGAGTGCATGTCTCTAGTCTCTTTTTTGATGGATTTTAATTGTTGATGCAACCTGCACGGAAACTATTTGTCTTTATAAATGGTCAACAGTTTGATTTGTCACGTAAAATCTGAATGTAAAAAATCGAAAGTTTCTGAAAAATTTAATGGATTTTAATGAATGAAAGTATAATGGCATTAAAAATCTGATACTTTAACAAAAAACTCCATTTTTAGCGCTGTTTAAAAGTTATGTCATGTAAATGAAATAATCAACATTTTTTACTCAAAAGTTAATACAAATTTTATGATTAAAGCAAAAAACCAGAAAATTCAAACTTTAAACTTAACTTTTACGTTGTTTACTGAATTTTATATACCAAACCTTATTTGTATTTAAAGTTTATTTTTATAATATTAATCTGGGAATTGTGTTAAAAGCTCACATATTAAGATATTATTTTATTAAAATTCTTTCCAATGGCTTTGTTGTTTCCATTAAAAAATCAATTTCCAGCCCCATTTAATTTAATTTCATAATTCCACAAATGCTTACACATTCTCTCTTAGATTTTAAATTGTTTCCATTAAAGACTTTATTAAATGAAAACTGTTTACCTTTAATGGCTTTTTAGGAGCAACATGTGTGTGCTATCGCTGTAATGTTGCTAAAAATTATTTGGCTAAACGATTTAAATTGCTCCTGTGTGAGTTCTAGCCAGCTTAGACCATATTATTTGATATGCGCTTTGAGACAAAGGCTAGAAACCGCTTAAAATGCACACACAGAGAGGCACACAAAAAGCCCGAAACCCGTGTTAAAGTTGCAGCCAAAAAGCAGGCCAACAATGGGGGAATTGTACTGGTTTCGCTTTTGGCCCCTTTCCTGATCTTTGTACGGGTACTGGTACTGGTCCTGGTCCTGGTCCCGGTCCCTGTCCCTTTTCGGACGGACTTGGTTCCGCAGGCAGCATAATTAATTGCGGTAATTAGTGTGTTGGCAACAAACAGCAAACACACGAAAACATTCAGCAAGAGCAAGTGAAACCACCAGAAAACGGGAGGACCACTACCAATGCATTTATTTTATAGAAGATTTGTGGGTCTCGCCAACTCTGGCATATTAGTTAGTTTTTGTGGAGCAACTTTTATTTACGACTCCATCTGGAAAGCTATATATATATATGTATATCGCGACTCTTGACTGGCGACTGTTGAAAGGCCGCCGGCGCTAATTCAGTTGGCCGCCTCGGCATTTCTGTGGCATCATTAGAAAGCGGAAAATGATTTTTATTGCTAAGCAAACAGAAAGGGGGTTGGCAGGACGGCAGGGACACAAATACTTGAAGCAAAAATCTCGGTAGCTAATAAGTCGGAGTAAAAGGAGCTCTACGGAAAGGATATAACCCTTGGGGGAAAAAGAAAGCTTGCTGGGCAAAGAAGCCCGGACTCTTTGGCTGTTCGCTTTAATTGGTCACTTGGCGAGCAACAGAAGAACAATTTAATTTTCGCCATTTTCTTATTATCTCCGTCGGTGGCAAGTCTTCTCTTAGCCCACAGAGCAGCTTTATGTAATTAAGGGCTGCATAAGGGGGGGCCAGAGGGCGTGGCAGCGTCTGTTGTGTGTTATTACCGCCGCAGTCATTAAATCTTTTGTGTGTAATTAAAAAATTACAATTTAATGCTTTGCGCTCATTTATTGACACGGCGTGCGGTCGTTGCAAAAGCATTCCCATCCGCATCCGCATCCGCATCCACATTCACATCCGCCCTGTGGCCAAGCAACTTGAACGAGCGGAAAATCGCGGAAAACCAAGTGGAGAAAATGTGGAACATTCTGGGTAGGGTAGGGGGATAATGAAGCACTGATGGAATTCCTAATGATGCAAGTCAGCTCCGTCTACAAACGTGTTAAGTGTGTATTTATGGCTAGGTAAATGCTATTAAATCTTTGTATAGCCATCGGCTGTGCTTGCTTTGTTTAATGCTGATTACTTGGTAATGGAAAAGGATTTATTTTGGAATCTTAAGATTAACTTTAAGGGTATTCTGGTTTTTAGAAAGAATTCAAAGCGATTTTCAGGATTAAAAAATAAGATTTTATTTATACTTATTTGTAATCATTTTTAAAGTATTATTAATTAATTATTAATTATTAATTATACTTAAATATACCCGTATTTCATGAGTAGCTTACCTACTGAAAATCACTACCAATGAAAATAATTCATTAAAATAAAAATGTTATTGATATCCCCGCTTTTAATTTTCTCTCCCAAACAAATTTAACTCTCAATTTTCAATTTAAAGACCTGGCCCCCAAGTGTGCTGTGAAAAATGTTGAATGCTGGACTTTCGATAAGCCAAATGAAAAGAAAAACAGATATGTCCAAAAAGAGGAAAACTCGGCACTGACATGAAAATTGCATTGCCCGAATGGTCACACCCACTATCGAATGGCTGGGGCATATGGCTGGAGAGGATTTTGCCAGAGAGCATGAGGGAATAAACTGGAGCCAAGCGTTGATTTGCTCTAAAAGCCCGTGCGAAACTGAACCCACTTGCCGGTGGGTTGGTGGTTGCAGGCCTAAAATGGCCGAATGCTGTTTTTCAATAGCATTTTTCTTGTTTTTTGCGTTTTTTGTGTTCAGCTGTCGTGACTCAAACTGTTGACTTAAAGTGTTGATATTGAAAGCCTGGTGGGTTCATAAGCCAACGGGAAAATGCAAAACCTTTGAACTCACGCCATGCCAAACAATTTGCTGCACGAGGAATGGTCTGCTTTTTCGGTTGTTTTGGGAAATTAAAAACGCGGGCTGATTGTTTTGTACCGCCTCTGTTTGCACACTAAATAAAGTCCACGTTCATTGCTCATTGTGATGCGAATGGCAAATGGCAAATGGCAAATTGTAAATGCCAAATGTCAATGGAACCGCTGATGAGCAGAGGGGCATCCATGTCTGTGCGTGTGGAGAGAAATATTTAACGCGCGGTCGGGCAATAAAAGTCACTACGCACAATATGGCACCCATATTCCCGCAGTCACAGACGCAGCAACGCATATCCGTATCCGCATCCGAATCCGACGTTTTGACATTCAACTGATTTATGCGGCTGTCAACGTACTACTCCTATTCCTTGCTCCAATGGAAATTATCCCCCAACAACGCATATGCGGGCCTTCGCTTGAGCCCCAGTTGACGTGGCTGATTGACAAACCGCGCTCTTTGCCCAAATGAACAATTTGACAGGCGGTCCGCCGGTTGTGGATATCCAAAGTACAGGTTACGCTTAAATCAAAATTGCCCTTTGTTTTATGGAACAACATATGAAATATTCCAGACTTCTCGTTTATTATCTCGCATTATTACATCTAAAACAGAAAGAGAGTAGAAATATTGGACAAACTAGTGATTACTCTTACTTTTGGCATCTCTAAAGCAATATTTATTGTGTAAATTTATTTTTACAAATAATAAAAATGTTGAATTTAAATGGGCTTTCTAAAATCTTCGTCTAAAATTTTTGGTATATTTAGAAAAACTTTTGTTTTCGGATAGAAGGTAAATGTAGGCCGTTTTTTTGTTGTTTTTGTTTTAATTCCTTTCGATAGTAATGCTCCCAATCCTTTGGACTTAAAGGGTGTTTCTCACTGACAGCTCTTTTGCACTTGGGCTTGGGCTTTGATTTGACTTGAAATTGTTCCTCGAAAGAAACAGATCCCAACTGAGACCCATTGGTTTCACTTTCTGAGTGCGTAATGGATTTTATAGGATTATTCTCCGGCTGTTCAATAGCAGCTTGCGGAACGGAGTTATTAAACTGAATCATCTGCAGAGGCAGACCCAGAACCCTAGCTATATAGTCCTTTTCCACCATAAAAGTCCCATGAGCTGTAGAATCGCAACCACCGGCCTGGCGTTCGGCATGATGAAATTCAAAGGATATGCCCAAGGGGCAGTTCTTTGGCTTGATGGTATTCCGTACGTCTATCACACTGAAGGTAAGAATTTCCTGGAAGATACCCAACTGCACGGCTTCATCGATGCCGGCATCGGTGACCAGAAAACAGCCCAGGGAACACCCTGTGCTCAGATCCCTCACGTTCACGTGGTAGACATTATCGGCTCGTAAAAATATTGATATGACGATATCTGTATAACAACGATCACCAATTGCTTTCATCAGTTCCTTGTGAAAACTATTGATCACCTTTAAGCTCCGTCCTCGGCAAAACTGGCAGGTGCTCGATGATTTCTTTTCCACAATTTTCGTAGTTGACTTCTCAAGACACTTCGTTGCCAGCGATTGTAGATTGGAATTAAGGCTATCAACCTGGGTGCGAATGTCGTGCAGCTCATGGCTCTGAAGACCCTCCAACCGATGGTTAAGCTCTGTCAGCTGCCTTGATATATCAGTTATGGCTGGGCAGTTGCTGCATGGCGTTGGTGTCGTGGAAGAATGTGGTTGATCTGATAAATGAGCCTCAGTGGTGCAAAGGAAAGTTGTCGAGGAATTTCGTTGTGTTAGAGAGGATTTGGATTTGGATTTGGATTTACTATGGGTACTATTTTTTTTAGAATGCGTTGAAGATTTCTTCTTATGATCCTGAGCATCTTTCTTAGATTTCGATGTCGATTTCTTGTTTTTCGGTGTTCCCTCACCCGAGGGCACAACAATTACAGGTCTAATGCAACATCTTCTAGTTGATCTGTGCTTTTTCGAAACTGGGTTACAATTACCATAGTGTTTTACGATTTCCCTTAGTGGTTCGGCATCTTCACTTGGGTTCTTTAAGCATATAACTGAAACTGAAATTTCTTTGACTTCTGGCTCTTTAAAGGTCACACAGGATTTCTGTGGCTTGTCATGAGCATCGTAGACATGGCATATAACAGGTTCCGGCTTTGAATGCAAGCTGGTTTGCGATATTTTTTCAGGATTTTTATCGTACTGACTGGGAACATTCTACTGGCCTAGCAATTGAGATGGAAACAGTTGGCTTCGATGAGGATTTGTGAGGGGTCTTTTGGTGATGGTCAGGGCTTTGAAAAGGCTTTTGCTTATCCTTGTTTTCCGTGCAACCAGCAGCAATACGGCTGTGATGTGGCCTAGGATCTTGAAAACTTCTGGGAGGGAATCTTCGTTCAATGGAATTCTGCAATCGAATCAGCTTGTTCATGTAACCCATATATATTCGACTCGAATCTATATATATTGTTAGTCATTATGACGAGTATGTATATGTACAATATTACTTACCCATATTTGCCTGAAAACTATAGCTGTTTTGGGAATGATTTCTCTTGGTCTGCTCTTTTAGATGAAAGTCTTTGTTTAGCGGTTGGTTTTAGTTTTCACTATAAAAATTTATGGTTAATTTTTCCAACATTTTTATATTTTTGTTTTTTTTTTTATAAAAAGGGAGTTATTAATTTTATGAAACCAAAAGCAACGCCAACTGAAGTGGCTTTAAAATTTCAACTTACCTTATGAGACTTCGCCTTGAGTAAAATATTTCCTTTGGTATTTGTAATATCTTTTATTTAGGCTCACACACAATTGGCAAACGGAAACCACAATTTATTTTATCTTTGGCTAGGATTTATGGTTTTAATTTTACCCCACCTTGGGGAAATATGTTCCCTTTCATTGGGTTTAAACTATTTTTGTAAAATGTATATTTTTTTGGTTTTTGTAATGTTCTTTTTTGGCAACGTTTGTTGGCCTTCCCTTTGTATCGTGGGAAACGGATTATGTTTACTTTTACATATAAATAATATCCTTTATTTTTAGCACTGGAAATTTACATGTTCAATTGTTTGTTTTGGCTTTGAACTGTTACAAAGATTACGTGTTGTATAAAACTTTCAAATGCTGTTTTTAAGCTCTTTCATATTTTTATTTATTGTTTGATGCGTTTGATGGTTTATTCGAGATTTAAGATAGAAAGTGTATGTAGTTTAGTTTAACGATTTTTATAGGATTAATTAAGGAAGGAAGGCTTTTATGTTTGCATAGATTTACTCTTCTAGAGTGTATAGAATAAATACTATTTTTTAATTTTGGCCACTTTTTGATTATATCCTAAAGATTTGGCAACAGAATCTCTTTCAAGTTAAGGCTTCAAGGCTTAAGCTCAGCGGGAAAACACCCAATTCGAGTTTAAATATTCACTAAGAAAAGCCAGCCAATCCTGAAATTAACTTTTTCACAAAAAAGAAAACTTGAACGAAGCTTAAAAGTTGCATAATTGCCGAGAGCCAAGGTTGATTTTCTTTAACCGCTATGAGGATTTGTTGAAATATATAAATATTCCTATAAGTTGTCCATTAATATCTTTTAAACCAAAGCATTCAAAGCTAAAAAGAACCTATTACTTAACTTAAACATAACTCCATTTAAGGTTTATATTAACGCACTGAACTTAAGAGTTAACCCAATTACTTAGACCGAGCAAATCAGACAGAAAAGTATCCTTGCGGACACGCCTTAAAGCTATACAAAGCACATGGGGGTTAACGGCCTGGTTTCTGGTTCTGCTAGGAGCAATACCCGTCATCCTTCATCCGCCTGCAGATTCAGATTCATCCGAGATTTGATCGCATCCGACCCATTAGTATCATGAGGCCCAGGAGTAGAGTTGAGGTCTTTAGAATTGACGCAGAGGAGCGAGGCTCCAGGGACAGTGTCTTATATTTCTCAACTTTGGTATAGTCACTGAACCCTGCCAAATTGCGAGATGCAGCCCTTACCAGGTAGACTGTATCGGGCTCTAAGTTTGTCAGAAGGAATGTTGCACCTGAAATGTATGTATGTATCGAGTTTTTTATGCTCAACTTGTTTGAATTTCCTAAACTTCGAAAAAGTCATAAAGACTTCATTCTAACAGTTGATGTTAAGTCGTATTAAACTTATTCTTCGACTCATCTTGTTAAACTCACCTTCTTCAAATGGATAATCCTTCCGTTTGGCATTGGTCCATTTGCCGACATCCGTCTTGAACTCCATTTCTGTCATGTACTCGATACGGAAGCCGTTCACCCCCATGGGACTGTCTGGTGGACCCCGTGGTGCACTCAGAACAACATCGAAGGTATTCGAATTGTAGCCCCGCAGCATAAAGTTCACGGGTGCAGGTGGTTTATCGCCCTGCTCCAATCGCGTGGTCCTCTCGATGACACCCAGGTCATTCTTTGCACGACACCTGTAATTATCGAAGGCACTGGTGTTCAGGACGTGGATGGTGAGGCTGGACCAGTAGCTATCCGATTCGATGGTGTAGAGCCTATTGTTGCTATAAAGCCGGTTATGTTTGCGATACCAGGTGAAGTTGGCTGGGGGTTCCGCCAGAGCTTCGCATATAAGAGTGGCAGTGCCGTTGATGTAGGCGTACTTAAGGCTTACAAAAGGCGTTTTGGACCACATGGGTTTATCTGGATAATGGGAAAAGTAGGGGTTATCAGTATATTTATTACTTTATTTTGTTCAACAGTTAAGAATTATTTTTGTAAGTCGAAAATATCTATTTTTGCACATGGTAAAATCAATTAAAAGATGTCTAAAATTCCAAAAAAAAAACCTAAATTATTTGCTGCAGTAAAGTGAGAATCTCCATCTGACATTCTGACAGCTCAAACCGAGGAGCGCTCAAAGGTATGCTATGGAAATGGAAAAACCATGTACGCTAACCATAAATCAGGTTCCGCCCAAAGTAAAGCCATTAGCTGCATGTGCGCCACGCCCACTGGCCACACATCAGGAACACCGGCCGACAACGGGATCCATCAAAAGCGGCTCGTATGCCGCGACTGTAATTCCAACATTTTTCGTGCTCAAAAACTATTTACCGCTCAATGCGTCGCATACTAAGCGCAAACTCAAAATGTAGGACCCTCAAGCTTGAAAAAACAAAACGGGGCTGAAGTAATTTCAACAGGACACCGAATATTGCACCTCCCAAAAAAGAGAAACTATTTCAAAAGCTTATGAAAAAGATAGAAATTAACATATTTAGAGTGAAATATATATATATATATATATTGATATTAAAGAATACAAAAGCAAGAAACAATACTTAAAATCTGAATGGTTAGGAATTTGGAAGGCATCTTTAACCGGTCAAACATTACGATTTTTAAACAATTTTTCTTAGAATTAGGTACAAAAATCCCACCACCAAAGGACTAAACTCGTCCCAATGTGCAAGATTTTTTTTTTTGGAAATCATAAATCACACTCACGTTCGATTTTCATCAAAACTGTGCGCTCCTGCATATCGGAAGCAATCGAGTTGACTTGGTATGCCCGGCACGCGTACTCGCCGGTGTCATTCTGTGTTACCTTGTTGATGAGCAAACCATCGGCCAGGATGCGGAACTTGGAGTTGTCGGCCGCTGCAAATGGAATGGAGTGGAAAAGGGCAGATAGTTGGTTACGGGATTACGGCCGGGGGTGGTGAATGCAAAAATTCTCATTATCATCGACTGGGCTCTTACTTACCTTCGGCACTGATGGGCTGTCCGTTGAAATGCCAGGTGACATTCGGTTGGGGTTCGCCCTTCACTTCGCACAGAATGGTGGCCTTTTCACCCTCCTTAACGGTCATCACGGTGGCATTTTCCGTGAATGTAATTTTCTCTGGGCGTTTTGCAAGAAAACAATGCAATATTAATGACTGACCAATGACCTCCGGTGTTTCCAGCACTTACGGTACACAATCAAATCGAAGGATTTACTATGCACACTTCCATCAGCAGCTTCGCAGGTCCAATTGCCCTTGTCGGCCAATGCGATGTGGGCGAAAACGATTTTCAATTGTTCTGTTCAGGGAAAATAAACAACCGAACGCGACGGAGAGTGAAAAAGAAATGGAAAATGGGAAATTGAGTAAGGAGTACATAGAAAAAGGTTAAATGGGGTTCGCAAAAAGAAATTGTTGTGTAGCAAAGAGTGGGCTTTATGATACCCTAAACGTGGTGTTTAAGGATATATTAACTATTTCAAAAGTCTCTCTGAACTAACTATTAGTGTATATTTTCTTATTCTTATTTGAATTGCCATTAATTTTACAATATTCTCCTTTAAAAGTATGCCTATTAATTTATGAAAAAAGGTAAAAATAGCTTAAGAAGTAAGGAGAACTTCAATTAATGTTTAAAATATTCTTTACATTAAGAACACTATTTATTTTAAAATGAAAATCATGCCCAATTGATTTTATTAAAGTCCCATCTGCAGGGTATCATTCAGCTATAAAGAATGTGGGTAGAGAAATGCAATTAATTGCGTTTGTTGTGCCAGTGGCCTTGTATACATTTGCCCTCTGATCCCTGACCACTATCCATTCCCTTTGCAGTGTTTCGTTTTTGTTTTATCTAGCTCATCCCACAACCTCATCCTCATCGTACCACATCCTAGACCGATTCTTACCTGCTGATGTTTGCTCAATGTGAATGCGTCCTTTGTGCTCGCGTATAATTTCGCCTTTCGGCGATTTCCAATGCAGCAACACTTTTGGATCTGGGCTGCGGCACTGGACGATGAGCGATTCGTTTGTATATCGAACCACAGAGTGCTCCGCAGGACTGAGGGAGAGGCTCTCATGGTGATTGGCCCAGGCGACAGCTGCAATGGCAAACAGATGGTAAAGGATATATTATACGATATATGTAGGATGTAATAGCTTGTTAATTGCAGTCACTGTCTCAAATGTCAACGGAAAAGTTAAAGACAAGTGGCTCCAACTTGTGGAATTTGCATAACGAGGCAATCTGCTCTGTGCAGATTATTTACTTAACCACTTTATGTTGTAATTTTAAGAAAGTTGGAAAAAAAGATACAAGAACGGCAATGTTTAAGGAGCTTAAATAAAAGCATGAGTAAGCGCTTTAATCCCTAAGGTAATAAAAACATTTTAAAAGGAGCTTATTGAATGTGAATGGATTGGTATGAATTTTTAATAAAGTAAACGATATTTCTATGGCATTGCAGGGGAAATATGAAGAAGGTTCTTGCGCCATTTTGCTATTTTTGTAAAAAGTAGAAAGTTTGTAGTGTTTTTCGTAGTTAACAAAATTGATATTAAGCCTGTGTGTTATATTGCAATCAAAAAACCAAACAACAAATTCTCAATTATTTATTTTTCTTGTTAAATAATAAACCGAGAACACAGGTAAACCATTTAATGCACAAATCGACGTGTTCATAAAACATCACAATTAATTGAAAAATATTGTTTGCAACTTTTAGTACATATAATCACTATTTTTCAAAGAAAATGGCATAACTGCTTGTGAGAGTTTTTATTTATTTGGCACAAATCAGCTGGCACGCAATTTATGTGGGCAATTTTTATTTGCCAACCGGCTGCTAACATACAGCAAACTGCACTCAACGGAGCGAAATCGTTGCCGCAACTCAGGCTTTCACTTCTTGTTTGCGCCCAGGCAAAATGTTCATTGAAATTTATCACAAGAAATTGCAATTTCATTTCGCCAATTCGTGTCAATCTGCCGTGGCAGGAGGGGGGGGCGGAAAACTTGAGGCTTGAGGATGAGGCTGGCAGGTCCAAACTTCAGCCGGAGAACCGGATGCCTCCGCAGCCCTTTGGGTATTCGGGCAATCTATAGATGCAAAAATTTCTTGCATACTTTTTAATAAAGTTTGTTGCCAGCCCCAAAGTGGCAAAGATGGAATAAAAACAAAAACTACGAAACATGATGGGGTTGTGGGCCACATGATTGCATCGTTCATTTCGTTGGCAAAAACTTTTGCGTTGCCTTTTTCTGCTTGTGCAAATTTTATTGGCAGCAGTACGGACATATTGAAATTATACAACTACATAATGAAATCTTCCTACATATATACTCGTATATATATTGGGGTGGCGCCACAGGAAGGAAGTCATGTACCAAAAGGAGCCAACGTCATCTTGGTGGGACATTATTAACAATGCATCTGGGGCAAGGATGGTCACAATTAGGTTTTGGCTCTGAAAACTTTGCTAGTATTAATTAGCATAGCCCCAACTTTGAATTGAAATGATTTAAAATGCCGGCAAATAGATTTTAGCTTGTGAATTTTAATTGGTTTGCTTAACTAGAATTTCAACAAGGTACTGGAACTGTTAGGATATGAATTTGGTAACTTAATGTTAAAGCCTCTTCATTATTTCAAAGACTTTTGTTTTCGTTTAAGAGTTTTCTGATATCTCAACGAATCAATGCTGACATCAGCCAGCGTTGCCAAAGAATAGTTGACATTACTTTTTATCGCGCTCTTGGCACAACTTACACGCCTCCCAAAGTCCACCCACATGTGTGTGCTATATAGTTATGGGAGCGTACAAATATTTGCATTGTTTGCTACGAGTATCACCTGCAGACGACGACGTCACTGTCTCTGCTGCGTCTGTTTGTTGAAACGCGACCGTTGACTGCTTGTCGGCATGTGATGATGGCAGCTATGTGACTTGATGTACAGGGAAAAAACAGTATAACTTAGATTTAAGACTTGTTTAAGAACATCTTTTAGAACTCTTAACTCTGTATAACACTTTTTCTTTGCTTAGTAAGATACTTAATAGCATATTTATTTCCTATTTATTATCATTCATATTTTTAGTAAAACGAAAACGCTATGTTGTCCTTTAAGTGTAAATCTCTGTCCTTCTATTGCCCGTTGTCAGCTTTTGTGATTTCCCTTGGCTAGAAGGGCAGTCCGCTACAAGAGTCGTCATAAAATTTCATGTGTCAACCAAAGTCACAGGACATGCGATCTTAATGACAGCGTCACGAAGAAAACAAAAATAATAAAATGAAATGAAAATATCAACGGACCAGGGCCAGGGCCAGAGCCAGTGGAAAAGTAAATGTAAAGCAGTGCCAAGTGAGAGAAAAACAAATGGTTAGTGGCAAATCGGAAATGGCATTCCCGCAGGGGCGAAATGAAATTATCTGACTGGCTGTGGGCATTGTTCGTCGACCTTTATAAATGCATTATGCCGTGCACTCGTGTGCACTGTGAGTTGGGAAAAAAAAAATAAACAAAAAATGTAAAGGAAAAACTGCAGCTGGCGGGTGGGTTGGGTTGTGGGTGCAGTTCAGATGGAGCTGTTGAGCGGTAACACGTGCGAGCTGCCAAAAAATGCAACCAAGCATGCAGCGCGTGGGCGACGTCCTGTGAACTGACGTACCATGGCAACTCCTACTCCTGCTGCTGGTCCTCCTCCTGGTCGAGTCAGGAGTGCGAGTGAGTGCCTGTGTGCGTGTGGGACATTGCAAAGTGTTAACCTGGAAATTCCGTTAAATAAAATGCATTATTCAGCTGCATTTTTGTGGCCACAATATCCCCATTTCTCGTTTTCGCTTTTCTTAATGCTCACCATAAAATATTTTTGTAATTATTAATTTTTAAAAGCCACAGTAATGTTTACCTTCTTTCTAAATATTTTCAATTAGCCTCGAGCGATTAAACTTTCCTTTATTAAAGTGTGAGAGTTACGTGAGATAAAGTGATAAAAATGGGGTAAATAAAATATCTTTCAGAGAAACATCTCATAAATTTGTAGTGGGAGTTACCATCCAAGCTGTCAGCCACAATAACCCACAAAACCCTTAAAAACTTATCACTTTATTACATTTTTATTACTCCTTAAGGCTTCTATTCAAACTGAAATTGCAGGCATTTATTCATTTGTTTTTAAATTATTCATTCGGAATTTTAATGAAATTTTGCCTCCTTTTTTAAGACGGGTCTGCAATTCAATTTCCATTAGCTCGACGAAAAACTTTTTAATTATTTTCCAATGCTTAATGGGGGGCATGGGGGAACACACGGCTTCAGAATTTTATTTGCCTCGAAATGCTGCAAGTTTTCCTCTTTGTGCGACATTTTTGTTTTGCATTTACTCTGGCAAAAAAGTTTGTTATTATTTTTTGATTTTTTTCCCACTCGCATTTGCTTTAGCCAGTACGCACGCATGCTCTCGGCTCTCAACTTCAATAAAAAAAGTTTTAATTTCGCTGCTGTAATAGGGAAGGGGGAATGAATGAACAGCCCAGTGAAAAGTCCTAGCCGCCATTCAAAGTGTTTTAATGTCAGAGCATAAACTCATATGAAACGTACTTAACCTGAATTATGCGCGGATTTTCCCCCATCGCAGGCCTAAAGGAAAATGTCGACAAATTGTTGTTGTATTTGTGCAAGCTTAACCCATTTCTGTCAGGGATTTTATCCTCTGATACGTTATGGCCAGGAAGTTAACGACTGGTTAACTTTTTCAAAAGCCAGACACAGAAAGTAACTTCTTAACCATAAGGCCAATAACCTGGCGGCCATTATTCCAGCTCTGAGTACAACCTGGCCAGGAATTTCATTTCAATGGCACACAAAGCACGTAATGCCAAAACATACATAAATCATCAGCGCGTCCCCGCACAAGAATATATTTCCGCTATAAAATGGACGTTTCCGCATTTTCGGCAACTGAACGAGCCACGTCTTGGTCCTTGGTCTTGGCCAACAGGAAAACAGGAAGTCAGGTTGGCTCTTTTGGTTTTTGCTTTCCCAGCTGCACTTGCATTTGCTGGCGGAAGTGAAGGTAAGGAAAACTTACTCCAGTTGTTGGTGTGCTTCACCTTGAATGTCTGGGCTGGCAAAGATGCCTTTTTAATAGTTTTCCCAGCTCTGACACTTTGGCCATGCTCTTGTTTCAGTTTGGCAATTAATTTTTTCCTGCTTCGGCTGCAAACAGTTCATAAATTTTCCATTATGTGAATGCGCGCCGGAAAATACATTTATGCGTTTTTAAATGCCTGACAGCTTATAATTCTCCCCAACTCGACAGCTCTCAACTCGCTTTGGTGGCCTTTGAGGAAGCTGGCGAATATAAATTTGCAACTGTCTGGACGATAAGAACCCAGAGACCATGGCTGCGATGCGGGTGTGGCTGCAGTGGCCACTGGTTCACTCCTGCCTAGGAGTCGCCTTTCAACTCATTCATCAACATGCTGCGCCTTTGACTTTTGAAACAAAACTTTGACAAACTTTACTTTCTAGTTGGACGGAGGAACACGAAGCCGGTTTAAACTGACGTTGTCGCAAAACTCCATAAAAGTTAGTGCTACTTAAATATTTTAAACATTTTATAGATAAATCTGCGAACAGTGGCTTACTGTCTGTTGTGATTGGGATTTGTGTCAACTAAATATAAAATATTCTCTAAGTGAAGCGGCATCGAAACGGATGGCACTAAATGAAAAAGTCAGTTTCTAGGATTAAATTTTGCTACCAAATATAGGTATATATTGGCCAGCATTGTTGAATTTCTTTTGTCTTTTAGAAGAAGCAGAAATAAATCAAATCTCTGAATCTTATAAAGAATATAACAAGAACTCATAACAAGTTGATAATTTATGTCATTATTCATGGCCCGTATCTAAACAGCCATCGCAAAAACATTTTCTTTTCTTTGTCATTTCACTTTACTGTCTCGCTTTCGCTTTCACTTTTCCATTCTTGAGGCAAACTTGAATACATTATTTTTGTACTGCTAGGCAGAGAGCTTAGACCATTTGTTAAGCAAATTTCCCGTAAAGTTGCAACACGACAGGCGTAGCATTAATCATGGGCCATCAAATTGCATTAATCGTGGCATCAAGTGTCGCTGCTAATTATCCTGGGCATAGATAGTGCCATCCACGT